CCAAGCACAATTCAAAGTGCTGGTGTTGACCTTAAAAGCCCTAAACAGCCTCGGCCCAGTATACCTGAAGGAGCGTCTCCACCCCCATCGTTCTGCCCGGACGCTGAGGTCCAGCGCCGAGGGCCTTCTGGCGGTTCCCTCATTGCGAGAAGCAAAGCTACAGGGAACCAGGCAGAGGGCCTTCTCGGTAGTGGCGCCCGCCCTGTAGAAAGCCCTCCCATCAGATGTCAAAGCGATAAATAACTACCTGACATTCAGATAACATCTTAAGGCAGCCCTGTTCAGGGAAGTTTTTAATCTGTGATATTTTACTGTATTTTTGGTTTCTATGGAAGCCGCCCAGAGTGGCTGGGGAAACCCAGCCAGATGGGCGGGGTACAAATAATAAATTATTATTAATTATTATTATTATTATTATTATTATTATTATTATTATTATTATTATTATGTGCATTGCTAACTTAGTTCCATAAATTTCATTGGGTCTACTCTAGCAGTATGACCAGCATTGGAATTGCTTTGAAGTCATTTCATTCTGCACCAGTTAAAGTGATTTTAAGCCCCCCCCCCCATTTCACCACCATCCCTGGACTTCTCCCATATTTTGCCCGACCAAAGGTGGCAACCCTACTTGCATCAGATTTCTGGAGAGGTTTTTTTAGCCTACTAAGAGGCTTCAAATGTTGAATGGAAGTGTGGGCTTATGTGGAGTTGTATTTCAAAATGCACCAACACTCTCTAACAAAGCAAGGTCAAATGCTAAGCTCATATGTAGAAAAATACACTTTTAAATCTGTATGCAAAGATGTGTCATGCAACATCCACATTTTTCCATTTAAGAATAAATTGCTTGGCAGTGTATAGGTTCCCATTACATCCAGGTAGTCTCTGTAAACAATTGTTGCAAGCCTAGTCATTTGCAAATTAAGCCAGCAGTCCTTTCTGAAGCTAGCAATTAGCATATAACTAGGTCCCTGGGTAGTGACCGAGCAGATTCTGAGGCCCCTTGAGTCAGTTTTAGATTCCTCCTGGAAGAGGTCATGTTCTTAGAGTCATCGTTAACATCATAAAACAACTTGGGTGTTCTGCTGAATAACAATTAGGTACAATTAGCATTGAATCCAGAGACACTGGCATAACCTATAGGAATGACATACTTCCTTTTCAAACATTGTAATCAATGTGCAAGATCTTCTGCAGGAGGTGCTCTACTTTTCCAGGCCCATTGCGCAAGGACTGCATAAGAAAATCATTTGAGCTGTACGTCTTGCTGATGCATTCTGTACCAGCTGGAGTTTCTGCCCCAAGGCCAAGGGCAGCCCCACAGAAAGCACATTGCAGTAATCTAGTCTCAAGTTTACAAAAAGGACTACAAAGTGGCCACGTTGTCCCACTATCCCAATAGTGAAGGTTCAAACATATTCTTTCACAATGCCTTCCTTTCCAAGCCACCCCCAAACACTGCGGCCACCCCCTCCTCCCCCTCAGGGCTGGAAGGGGGGTCACTTTAGGTGTGTCTTGGGCGCTTGAGGGCACCGGCTGCCTCTGAATGAGGCTCGGGTGTCTTCTTGAGAGTGCACTGAGGGTCAGGGAGACAAAGACCCCGGCTCCTGAAGAATCAGAAAGGATGCCCCACGTAGGATGGAATAATAATAATATTAATAATTTTATTATTTCTATCCTGCCCATCTGGCTGGGTTGCAATGGGACAGGTGTGCCTCTTCAGAGTTTGTGGTCCAGGGGAATGGGTGCTTGTGATGCCATTGAATGCAATGAGTTGTGGCCTTTGCCTAAAGATTTGTTCTGCAGGGGGAGGGGGAGGGACTTTCCCTGCACTCTTGCTTAATGGCTGGGTTCGGAGAATGGTACAGTGTCTATGGCCATACTACCCTGAACACGCCCGATCTCGTCTGATCTCGGAAGCTAAGCAGGGTCAGGCCTGGTTAGTACTTGGATGGGAGACCGCCTGGGAATACCGGGTGCCGTAGGCTTTTGCCTCCTTTTGCCGCTCAGCGGCCCCGCTTTCAACTCTGCCCCTCCACTTGCCGCCCATTTCATGCCAGGCGCTGCTGCCCGCTCTTTCCATCTTTCCTTTCGTTTGCTTTCCTTCTGACCTGCCCCTTTCAAACCTGCTTGCACGTGGAAAGCATCCAGGGCCCAGAATGAGCTACTACGCCGAGAATTGCTAGGCCAAAGGCTGACCGCCGACAAATGTGCTTTCACCGCTGGAGAGCGCCAGCTGCTGGACATCAAGTGCTCCACAGCAGAGCTGCAAGTGGAATGCATCTGCAGGCTGTTCAGTTGAATTGCATTCAAAGACAGCCACGAATGGACAGGAACTACGCAAGGCGAAAGCTGCGTGGGGAAAGCATCCAGGGCCTCGGGGGAGGCGCTTTCCCTGCGCTCTTGCTTAAAGGCTGGGTTCGGAGGCTGGTACAGCGTCTACGGCCATACTACCCTGAACACGCCCGATCTCGTCTGATCTCGGAAGCTAAGCAGGGTCAGGCCTGGTTAGTACTTGGATGGGAGACCGCCTGGGAATACCGGGTGCCGTAGGCTTTTGCCTCCTTTTACGCCCGCTTTCAACTCTGCTCCTCCACTTGCTGCCCATTTCATGCCAGGCGCTGCTGCCCGCTCTTTCCATCTTTCTTCTAATTTGCGTTTTAAAGGTTAGAAAGGAAAGGCACGATTCCACATGCGGCTTTCACGTTGCATAGTTCCTGTCCATTTGTGGCTGTCTTTGAATACAATTGAACTGAACAGCCTGCGGACGCTTTCCACTTGCAGCTCTCCTGTGCTGCACTTCATGTCCCGCAGTTGCTGCCTCTTGATAGATTTCAGCTGAGCTGTGACTTTAAATGCTTGCAAGCCGCCCTGAGCAGAGCAGGGGGCGTGGGCAGGGATTTGCAAAGGAAAAGCAGGTTTGAAAGGTGCAGGTCAGAAGGAAAGCAAATTAGAAGGAAGATCGAAAGAGCAGGCAGCAGCGGCAGGCATGAAATGGGCGGCAAGTGGAGGGGCAGAGTTGAAAGCGGGGCCGCTGAGCGGCAAAAGGAGGCAAAAGCCTACGGCACCCGGTATTCCCAGGCGGTCTCCCATCCAAGTACTAACCAGGCCTGACCCTGCTTAGCTTCCGAGATCAGACGAGATCAGGCGTGTTCAGGGTAGTATGGCCGTAGACGCTGTACCAGCCTCCGAACCCAGCCTTTAAGCAAGAGCACAGGGAAAGTGCCTCCCCCTTTTCCTGCAGAACAAATCTTCAGGCAATGGCCACAACTCATTGCATTCAAGGGCAGTTAGCCCTTCTCTCTCTTTCGTCACAAGCACACACTGCCCCTTGCGACATTCTCCCCAATGCAACCAACCTGCACCAGACTCACTGGCTCACCAATGGCCACACCCCACGCCACTCAACCTCAATCACATGCTTCTCCCACCACGCCAAAGATGATCTAGGCGGCGCAGGGCCACCACTCCAACATCAGCCCCGGTCTAATTTATAATGTAAAAATCTGAGGACAAATTGGAATGGATGGGTGAATGAAAAGACAGGGAGCATGTACCAGTGAAGCTACAGAATTCCTATTCAGTCCTTTAAAATTCTCAGAAGTCATTGAAAAAGATGCTCAAATATACCTTTCCCAAAAGCCAGAAGCATTTTTGCTGGGCTTGATGGGAGAGGAAACAGCAAAGGCAGATCAAAGACTATTTATGTACGCCACAACTGCGGCGAGAACTTTATTAGCCCAAAAGTGGGAGTTACAGGAATTACCAACGATGGAGGAGTAGCAGACGAAGATGCTGGACTGTGCGGAACTGGCAAAACTGACCTGCAGAGTTCGAAACCACGACGAACTAAAATTCCAAAGAGACTGGAGTAAATTCATTGACTATATAAATAATAACTGTAGAAGTTTGAAGACACTAGCAGGACTGAAATAAATCCTACGACGTGGACTTTATAAAATAAGATTAAACTGTGAGATATAGATTTGCAAAGGGAAAGCTTGTTGGCAGGATGGAGGGAAGTCATAAGCTCAGCAGAGCAGTCGGGAATGAGATTGGTAGGTGTGTATTGGAAATTATTGTTTATTGTTTAAAGTGAAAGTATAATAAAAATTATATTTTAAAAAAATACTCAGAAGTCATGACTGAAAAATGCTTTTGTAAAAATACACTTTATTTTACAAGGCCACGTGCTAAATTTTACACGTGTGCAATTTTTCACATTTGATGAGAAGCGTGTGCATCTTGTCCCTGGGTATCATGAACCAGTCCTGCCAACCTAGCAGTTCGAAAGCATGTCAAAGTGCAAGTAGATAAATAGGTACCACTCCGGCGGGAAGGTAAACGGTGTTTCCATGTGCTGCTCTGGTTCGCCAGAAGCGGCTTAGTCATGCTGGCCCCATGACCCACAAGCTGTACGCCGGCTCCCTCGGCCAACCGCAACCCCAGAGTCGGTCACGACTGGACCTAATGGTCAGGGGTCCCTTTACCTTTTATCATGAACCAGAGTACATAAAATGTAATGCGACCATCTGCACTCAGGTGCAAATTGATTTCATTTTTCTCAGTGCTTTTACTACTCAACAGGCTAATCTGAATGTGGGTGTTGGAACGATGGCATCTGTTCAGATCACTCATTGCTACTGTTCTCAGATCCTTTCATCCAGTTCTGGCATTTATTTCTACCTGAATTCTCTCCCGAAACAATGCATGTATTACAGAATCACAGAATTATAGAGTTGGAAGGGACCGTGAGGGTCATCTAGTCCAACTCCCTGAAATGATGGAATCCTTTTGCCCAACATGGGGCTCGAACCCACAGCCTTGAGGTGAAGAATCTCTTGCTCTACGAACTGAGCAGAGCAACCAGGCTATGGAGAAGTAAAGGATAAAGCTTTGCAGTAGGAGCTGAAGAATCCCCAGTGAGCAATAAGCCACTCTAAACTCTCCAGCCTTGGTCTTCTGTGGGCTGTAGCCGATGAGGAACAGCACAGAGCTTAAATGGGCGGGGATGCACCACAGCAGCTATTACAGGTTCAGTGTTCACTTCCTTCACTCCCTCTGGCAGCCGGAAGGTAAATGCTCTCACGAGGCTGGTAAAAAGAACAAAGAGTTCCACCTGTGCTATGTGCTTCCCCAAGCATGCACGGCTTCCTGCAGAAGGAATAAACAGGAGATAATAAGTATCACGTACCTGCATCACTCATTCTCTCAAGCGCTACATAATACTCCATAATTAAGAGTGCATGGTATACATTTGCAACCAAAGCATCTGAAGAACCTATGCAGAAGGGAAGGGAGATGGTGCACATGTCCACACAATGAGATGGAAGTCAGGACCACAATACCTCAAGGACCGCCTTCCCCATATGAACCAACCCAGGACCTGCAACCATCATCTGAGACTCTTCTTCATGTGCCTCTTCTGAAAGAAGTCCAGAGGGTGGCAACACAAAAACAAGCCTATTCTGTGGTGGCTCCCCGCTTGTGGAATGCTCTCCCCAGGGAGGCTTGCCTGATGCCTTCCTTACATATGTTTAGGTGCCACACAAAATATTTCTCTATAACCAGGCTTTGGGCTGACTAAACATTCTATGGCCTTTTAAAGTGGGGTGGGTGGGTGGGTATTGTTTTGTTTGCAATTACGTTGTGCATTTTTGTGTTCTTATAATGTAAACCTTTCCGTGATCCTCAGATGAAGGGTGGTAAATAATGAGGAGGAGGAGGAGGAGGAGGAGGAGGAGGAGAAGAAGAAGAAGAAGAAGAAGAAGAAGAAGAAGAAGAAGAAGAAGAAGAAGAAGAAGTGTGCATATGGTTGACACTCAAGCTGCAATCCTGCACCTCTTTTTTGTGAGCAAGCCTAATTGATGTGGAAAGGGATAGCCTAATTTCTGTTGCCTACACTTTGGTATCCTCTAGGTTAGATTACTGAAATGCATTATATCTGGTGCTGCCTTTGGAGATAGTTCGGAAACTGCAGCTGATACAGAATTCAGAGGCCAGGTAGCTCACCGCGGCAAGACAATTTGAAGATATAGTACTAATCCTGGCCTGACTGCGCTGGCTACCAATTCGTTTCTGGACCTAGAAAGCTATACCACTAATACAGTGGTACCTCGGGTTACAGATGCTTCAGGTTACAGGTGCTTCAGGTTACAGACTCCACTAACCCAGAAATAGTACCTCGGGTTAAGAACTTTGCTTCAGGATGAGAACAGAAATTGTGCAACGGCAGCACAGCTGCAGCGAGAGACCCCATTAGCTAAAGTGGTGCTTCAGGTTAACAACAGTTTCAGGTTAAGAACGGACCTCCAGAACGAATTAAGTTCTTAATCTGAGGTACCACTGTACCTCAAAAACTTCCTCTCCCCATATGAACTGACCTGAACCCTGTGATAGTCATCTGAAGCTCTATTCCATGTTTCCCCCACTATGGGAGGTCCAGAAGAGGCAACACAAGAATGGGCCTTTTTGGTGGTGGCTCCCCACTTGTGGGATTCGCTCCTCAGGGAGGTTCACCTGGCACCACCATTACATATCTTCAGATGCCAGGCAAAAAGGTGTATTTTCTGCTAGGTCTCTGGCTTTTATTTCCCACCACGCTGGGGAAGCCTGTACTTAGAAGAGTGTTGCCAAGACTCCTTTGTCGAAACTGCTTGGCATGTAGTGTTGCCTGAACAATGTTAAAAGGCTTGTATTTGATTGCTTCTTGGTTCCTTACTGGTCCTCTGCTAGCAGGTCCAAAAATTTAAAGGGTTACTTTCAAAAGCCTGTTACTGCTTTTCTGCATTTTCTCAGCTCCTCCTTCAAGATTTTGTCCTCAAAACAAACACTGCTGTTTAATATCACAGTCAAGTTTGCAGTTGTGCTTTCTAAAAGTCTGTCCATTTACCTGTCCCAAATGGGAGGAATTCATCTCTCACTATGAATTTCCCATCCTTATCTAGGAAGTGGTTAGGGTTGAACTGGTGAGGTGTCTCCCACAGCTTGGGATCAAGATTAATAGAGCACAGATCAGGAATCACCAGAGTATTCTGCAAAGAAGAGAAAAGAGGGCTTAGCTATACTTCTTAATATCTTGGTCAGACAGGTATAGGTGGAGAACTCCTACATCAGGCTTCCTCAATCTTGGCCCTCCACATGTTTTGGCCTACAACTCCCATGATCCCTAGCTAGCAGGACCAATAGTCAGGGATGATGGGAACTGTAGTCTCAAAACATCTGGAGGGCTGAGGTTGAGGAAGCCTGTCCTACATCCAGGCCAGCAAATAGCCTATTAGGGCAAATGCTAGGACTTCTAGAGCAGTGTCATAGCATGGGTTGCCAGTGCCCGGGGCCACGCAAAGGCAGTGGGTGGGAGGGCTCATTCAACTGCCTAACGGCATCCGCATCACCCAGGAGATCACAGCCACAGAGATAAGAAAAGAAGAGGCATTCCGTTGGCTGGAGAGGTCACTTCCTGGTTGGCATGGAGAAGCCATTTTCAACAGAGTCCAGCACATGGCTGTATTGAAGCAGCACTGAGTGTTGAAATTTTGCACCCCTAACAATTTTGCGCCCAGGACAACAGTCCCTGTGGCCTGCTCCCATGCTACGGCACCGTTCCGGAAGACCCACCGTAACCAACGACACAAGGCCTCTAGGTCCCCTTTAATTTATTTTGGCCAGGCACAGAAAGGAGTGCTGGGCTCAAGTAACTGGATTTGCCATTGCAGGGTTGTTTTAACTTCCTCACAGTGCAGTCAGTGTTGTGGGAAAGGACAGCCACCTGCCTCACAGCCGGATTCACCAGTGTGGCTTCCATTAAAATTTTAAATTTAATTAAAATGATTTCCCCTCCACAATGAAATGTGCATGTTCTAACACACACATATATAGAAGTGCTCACAAAAGGGCTCTTGCACTAGTGAATGGGAGAGTTTCAATGCCACTCAACAGAGGAATCCAACGCAACAATTGCACTAGCCAAAACTTGTTGCCAAACAATCGCTCAACCTGGGAAAGGGGAGGGGGGGTGGTAGAAGTCACTCTGTACCTTTTCAATGAAGTTGCCAAGCACGTTCATATCGTCTACACAAACTCTGGGTGCCCCAAATAGTATGACGTTGCTGAAGCGCTGCGTCTCCTTAATCACAGCACTGGTATAGGGCAATCGCTTCCGATCCTCATAGCAGACCAATTTGGAGGGACTGAGAGCACTTCCTAGCTCCTTCTGGACTTGCTCTGAGGGTGGGGGGGAAAGGTGTTTCAATTCATAGGTGGGCAGAGGGAAGGTTGTATTTGGGAAGCACTCTTGTCTCAAGGGTCACCAGAGTGCCAGCCACTAAACAGCTGTGAAAGAGAACCCCTTGGCCCCTCCATGGCCCCTTGGCCCTTTATTGCACATTGACGATGATTTGTGCTCACATTGCTATTGGGGCAGTCACACATGATCATGCTTTCTATTATGTCTGTGCCTGCAAATGTTTTTGGGGTGGCCATGCTGCTTCATTTCCAATCAGTGCATATCCTCTAACTTCTTCCTGAAATCCCATCACTTTCTATATGAAATACATGCTTTTCTGTCCTGCTTTTGTTGAGCTGTAGCCCTTCCAGACAGCCACAATACAACAGCCTTATTGGGGAAGCATCAGAGAACAAACTGAAGCAGAATCAATCAACCATGCTCTCGAATAATATATAGGGCTTCCCTCAATTACAACCCCAGAATTTTGTTTTAACATCTGGGCCTGCTTAATGTCATTTGGCAACCCAGCACAATATTGTCCACACCAACAGGGAACAGCTCTCCAGGGTTTCAGGGATAGCTCAGCTGGTACAGCATAAGACTCTTAATCTCAGGGTTGTGGGTTCAAGCCCCACACTGGGCACAAGATTCCTGCATTGCAGGGAGTTGGACTAGACCCTTGCGATCCCTTCCAACTCTACAATTCTGGTTCTAGACATTCCCAGCCCTAGCTAGAGATGCCAAGGACTGAACCTGGGACCTTTTGCATGCAAAGCAGAGGCTCTGCCACCGAGCTACAGCCTTCGCCCCTCCCAAGCTGTACATAGAACAGAATAAGCATCCTTCACTTGCGCCATACAGCCCCTCTCACCTTGAATATTGGGATGGGCCACCATAAAAAGCAAAGCCCAGGAGAGAGTGGCAACTAGAGTGTCTGTGCCTCCAGCAAACAGGTCAAAGATAACCTGTACCAGGTTGTCTTCATCAAACGTAGTTGTGGAGTCAATTTTCTCCTGTGGATTAGAAGCATGACATTTCAACCCAAGGTACTCAAAAGCTTGGCTGTCTCAGTTGCAACCACTGTGTTGCCTTTGCCCTGTGTGCAGTTCTTGAGACTAATTTTTACCTCCTTTGTTGGCTCCATGGAAGCTTTGTCTCACTTCCTAGCTTGCAAGAACACTTGGGGTTTTGTGATTTGGTGGCAGCAGACAGGATGGTGAGGCTGCACCATGAAGCCCCCCTCCTGCCACTTAGGTCCACCAGCGGGAACACTAGATTCACTCTGTCGCTGGGCCTGTGTACCCACAACCTCACCTGTGTCCTGCCCCATCCAGGTAAACAGCAGCAATTTCGGTGTCAGATCCGCAGCCCTGCCCCACTGCGCCAGCCATTCCTGTGATTTCGGAGCCGGTTAAGGCAAGGATGGGAAACAAGGCCTAGGGCCACCTTACCTTGTAGACAACTTAGTGGGGACCACATGCCAGTGGTGGGTGGGGCTGGAATAAAAATGAGTGTGGTCTGGCAAATGAATGGGTATGTTGATAATGGGACTGTGCGGCTGCAGACAGCAAACAAAAGAATCGCATGACTGTATGCGCCACCTACGTCAAAAATACCTCTGCACACAGAAAAGCAGCATGTCAAGGGAGAAGCCAGACTAAGAACTTTCTCCCTGACAGGCTAGCTTTCTGCTGGTAGAGGATGTTGTTGTTTTTGTTGTAAATCAACATAGTAAGCCATAATTGTAAACAAAACAAGTAACATCCAGTGGAGAGAGTTCATATCCAGAACATCCAATCTTCAGAAACAATGCACAATTTAAATAATCCATTTATCACTAATACTGAACCGTCAGGGAGTGCTGCATCACTCCCAGTTGACTTCTATCCAAAACGGTACCATATTATTCAGTATACTAAACAATGTGGACTGGAATGGATGCTGGTGCTGACACATAAGACCAATCCTTGCTTTTCTGTAAACTGCTTATAGATTTGTATAGTGTTAATTTGGTTTGGCTTATTTAAATGCTGCTTTACCACACCGCAAGTGATATTTATCCGTGGAAGAGGCTTATTCGCCCAGCTGGAAAAGCTTGTCGGAACAAAAATGCCTACAATTATTTCCAGGAGGTGCGGATAACGGCTGCCTGTCAGATCTTGATAGGAATGCAGTTCCACAGAACTAGGGCAACCATGCTAAAAGCTCCAAGTTGCTATGGAGAGGGCCTCGGATCTCTTCGCAACCTTTAGGAAATACTCTCCCATAGACTGCAGTGACCTACTGGCTATATACAAGATAAGGCAGCCTCTCAAGTAACCTAGTCCTGAACTGTATAGGGCTCTAATAGTTCAGTACTACATACCTGCCAACTTTTCTCCAATGAAAATAGGAACACTCTATTCATCATCATCATCATCATCATCATCATACACTGCCCATCTGACTGGATTGCGCCAGCCAATCTGGGCAGCTTCCAACATATATAAATAAAATATTAAACACTAAAAATGTTCCCTATACAGGGCTGCCTTCAGATGTCTTCTAAAGGTTGTATAGTTACTTATCTCCTTAGCCGGGGGCGTTGCATAACTGCATACCTTCCAACAGTTCTCTGATGAAACTAGGGACATCCTAAGGAAAAGCGGGACATTCCCGGATCAGATCAGAAACCGGGACGGCTTCTGTAAATCCAGGACTGTCCCTGGAAAATAGGGATACTTGGAGGGTCTGGTAGGAGCACCTTGAACAAGATATTTTCACCGTAACAGGAAATAAACAGGCTATGCTCCGTTAGGGAAAGAAAGTCTTGTGTGAGACTGTGGCGTTTGCCCCTAGGATGCGTCAAGGAAAGAGTTAAAAATGGGTGTGATGTGATTGGCTAGTGAGAATGTGAGGGGGGAGTAAAAGATAGAGTGGGAGGTTTTGAAAAGACAGTTGAGGTCTGGGAGTTGACAGTTGAGGTTTGGGAGTTGGGAGTTGAAGGTTGAGGGTTGTCAGTTGGGAATTGAGGCTTGGGTTGGAGAAGGAAGAGGGTGGAATACGCAGTGGGTTGGTTGAGTTGTATTGTGAGAGAGTGAGAGGAATTGTTAGGGAGTTAGATAGATAGTTGGGAATAATTCAGTTTGAAGTTGTAGGAACTAAGATTTAAGAAACTGACAAGAGAAAAATAAACCGAAACCATACGCTTATTCCTGCACTTAAAAAGAAACTTGATTATTTGTTTATGTTAACATCTGTCTGGACTCCGTGTGTCCCCGTGAGAAGCGGGGTGGTGGCAGCGAAGAAAGCAACCGCAGTGGTGGCACAGGGTCAATAGACCGTGAAACGTCCGGGGGCCCTGTGTGATCGCCACAGAGACACAATTTCTTGTTGCAAAGCCACAGCTCCCCAGCCATTTGTGGGCGGCTTTTGTCTCAGTGGTTCATGAGCTGTGCCAAATTCAGGCACTCCAGCAGAAACTTACCTTGTCTATCTGAGCCAAATAGAGGTGAGTGTAGTCCTTTTGCTCCTGGGAAACCCCACCTTTCTGGCAATTTTCTACCTCCTTCCTGATAAAAGAACGCATGAATTCACAGGAGGAGAAAACCTTTTTGTGAGGCCCGGGAATGTGCCGCATCAGTGAAGGGAAAGCGTTGTATAGCTGCAGGAAATGCAAAAGAAAATGTGTGAGTGTTGCTTTGGCAATGTAATCCCTGATCGCCCTGTTTGGGCCCTTGTAATTAAGGAAGAGACCTGGATTCAGGGAAGTCAAGGGACAGGCTTGGGAGCAGACAGAAAGCTCGGGAATGGCAGTTCAGGAGCAAGGCAAAAAGTTCAGAACTGGAAGATATTGCATATATCAGTATTTCCAGGGCTTTTTTTTTCCAGCCAGAGCTCACCAGAACTCAGTTCTAGCACCTCTCAGGTTGGTCCCATTGCCATTCTAAGAGAACAAGGGAGGCATTCATGGTGAGTTCTGGCACCTCTTTTTCTAGAAAAATAGTACTGAATATTGTGCAGTTTGAAGCGACTCGATGCATAAAAACTGACTCCTTTGGGAATGAAGCATTGTTCAGACTCATTAGATTGTTCAAAACTTTACTTGAAGAACTTTCTTCAAAAGCTGAACAAAAACCGATACATCCAAATAAAAAGGTAAAAGTACCCCTGACCGTTAGGTCCAGTCGCGGACGACTCTGGGATTGCGTGCTCATCTCGCTCTATAGGCCGAGGGAGCCGGCTTCCGGCTGTGGCCAGCATGACTAAGCTGTTTCTGTCAAACCAGAGCAGCACACGGAAACGCCATTTACCTTCCTGCCTATTTATCTACTTGCACTTTGACGTGCTTTCAAACTGCTAGGTGGGCAGGAGCAGGGACCAAACAACAGGAGCTCACCCCATTGCGGGGATTTGAACCGCCGACCTTCTGATTGGCAAGCCCTAGGCTCTGTGGTTTAGACCACAGCGCCATCCGCGTCCCTACAGTGCCAGGAAACGATACATCCAATTAATTCCATACAATATCTTGTGCCAGTCCAGCACAGGCTCAGCATCTTAGAAATAAAATGAACTTATAACCAGAGCTGACAAACATAGCTCTCTCTAAGACACAGGCTCCATTAGCCTGCATTCCAGCTCCTTAGGCTATGCAGCTCCTGAAGAGGCATCTTACTTTTACAGAGCCTGAGAACAAAGACTCAGCCACCACCCTTCCAAGAAGGCGAATTTGCAATTCAGTACCTCTCATGTGATCTAAAGTTAAAACACTATGTCAGAGCTACCAGAAAACAATAACAATAGTTAATTAGCAACCTATCTAGGCAGCTCAGAGAGCTCTTCTTGCTTAGGAGACTCCAGAGGGATTTTCCATTTCAGTGTCAATTAAACAACTGTACTTAACAGAAGGAAGCAATGGAGGCTATACAAGGAAGGAACACCTCTGTGGAGAGGGAATCTCACAGCTCAGGGGCTGCCACAGAGAATGCCCACCACCCCAAATGACTGATATGACTAGAGCTGGTAAAGAGGTCACTTGGGAGAACATAAGGGCACCAGAAGAGTCAGGTCAATGGCCCATCTAGTCTAGCAACCTGTTCTCAGTGTGTTCAACAGGATGCCTACAGGAAGCCTCAAAACTGGGACTGAGTAGCCACCTTATTTTTGTGGTTGTAACCTGTTTTAAGCTGTTTTTAATGCTTTGGCCACCTCATGAGAAGAGAAGACTCCCTGGAAAAGACCCTGATGTTGGGAAAGATGGAGGGCACAAGGAGAAGGGGACAACAGAGGACAAGATGGTGGGACAGTGTTCTCGAAGCTACCAGCATGAGTTTGACCAAACTGCGGGAGGCAGTGGAAGACAGGAGTGCCTGGCGTGCTCTGGTCCAGGGGGTCACAAAGAGTCGGACATGACTAAATGACTAAACAACAACAACAACAATGTTTCATTTTAATGTTGTGACCTGCCCTGGGACCTTAGGATAAAGGGTGGGTAATTATCATCATCATACAGCAGTTCTTAGGGAAGAGCCATAGCTTAATGGCAGAATGCACCATTTGCATGCAGAATGCGGCAGGTCCCTTCTCCATCACTTCCACTGAAAAAGGACCACAGTGAGGAGGGATGAGGAAAACCTGGCCTGGCTCTGACTCAACACTGGACATGTTTGTGTGCAGATACAACGTTGCCCTCCTTGGAGCTGGGAGAGTGAGAAGGAACAGGGGATAATTCATTACTCACCATCTCTCCAGCGGTGCCCCTAAATTTGGTAACAGTGCTGATGTGTTCAGTTAGCTCATGTAAGGCCTTCTCTTCCACGGGAACAGGATGTCCAAATGCCAGAGAACAAATCACTTTGGAGACTGAATGCATGATGGGCAGCAAAGGGTCCAGAGGCCGTCCTGCAGACAAACAGCCAAGACAATCTCATCAGCATTCATTCCACTGGCCCAGGGCTTTGGAGCAGGGATCGGCAAGGCTTACCGGGCATGGGCCAGATCACTGCCGCAGAGATCCTCCATGGGCCGGGCCGGCACAGCACAACACTGGTAATCATGTCTGCTCATGTCCACAGTGCCGGAAATCACCTCTGCGCATGCCCAGATGCCAGAAATGGCACTTGCGCAGAAGTGATTTTTGGCGTCTGGGCATGCTCAGAAGCGATTTCTGGCGCCGCAGACATGCGCAGACGCGATTTCTGGTGTCTGGTCATGCGCAGAAACGATTTCCAGAGCTGCAGAAGAGAGACCCCGCGCCACGCTGCACCAGTTTAGCGCAATGCGCAAGGACTCACCGAGCAGGCGGCTCATGGACTGGTTAAATGGCCTCTGTGGGCCACTTCCGGCCCATGGGCCTTAGGTTGCCAACCCTTGCATTAGAGACGTTGGGAGAGAACCACAGATCTACCCCACTCTGAATGTTTCAGAGTATTGTGGCCTCAGAACCAGACATTTCAGGTGCCTCCAGTCGAGTCTGTCACTATTTTGCAAAAAGGATACAAGGGTTTACTGGAGATTCGGGTTTATGTGGTTAAAGTGAATTAAAATACTCTGTTGACCTATTTCAATAAACCCCACTTTTTATATTAAAAAGAAGAAGAAAACAACTTTTTTACAATTAGAAAAATGCACTGAAAAGTGGGGGGTGGACAAATGATTAACAGGAAGTGTATAAACACCCCGCAGGCAAATCTGGATGAATGATCATTGTCACATAACTGCCCGGCAAAAAAATCAGAATGAACACTCATTAACAATTGGCCATATTTTTATGATTGTAAGTTGTTTTTAATTGTTTATAATAGTTTTTTTAATGTTGCAACCCACCTTGGGACCTTAGGATGAGAATGGCAGGCCATAAATAAATACATAATTGGAAGGAGAAGGAGGGGGGGGGAGGAAGAAGAAGAAGAACTGTATAGTTTGAAGGGAATGCAAGAATATTTTGCCCAACATGAGGCTCAGACCCACCACCCTGAAATTAAGAATCTCATGCTCTAACATCTCTTTTTAAAAAATATTAATATTTATTGGTTTAAAACCAACACATACACACAAATAACATTTAGAAAAAAGCAAAGAAGAAAACAAAAATAAAACAGACAAAGAAATAGCAAAATTATACAAAATGTGCCTTTTTAAAGGTTAGAAAGGAAAGGAGGATTCCACATGCGGCTTTCACGTTGCATAGTTCCTGTCCATTTGTGGCTGTCCTTGAATACAACTGAACTGACCGTCCTGTGGACGCTTTCCACTTGCAGCTCTCCTGTGCTGCACTTCACCTCCAGCAGTTGCTGCCTCTTGATAGATTTCAGCTGAGCTGTGACTTTAAATGCTTGCAAGCCGCCCTGAGCGGTGCAGGGGGCGGGGCAGGGCCTTGCAAAGGAAAAGCAGGTTTGAAAGGTGCAGGTCAGAAGGAAAGCAAATTAAAAGGAAGATTGGAAGAGCAGGCAGCAGCGCCTGGCGTGAAATGGGCGGCAAGCTGAGCGGCAAAAAGAGGCAAAAGCCTACAGCACCCGGTATTCCCAGGCGGTCTCCCATCCAAGTACTAACCAGGCCTGACCCTGCTTAGCTTCCAAGATCAGACGAGATCGGGCGTGTTCAGGGTAGTATGGCCGTAGACGCTGTACCAGCCTCCGAACCCAGCCTTTAAGCAAGAGCGCAGGGAAAGTCCTTCCCCTTTCTGCAGAACAAATCTTCAGGCAATGGCCACAATTCATTGCATTCAACGGCAGTTAGCCCTTCTCTCTCTTTCGGCACAAGCACACGCTTGCATTGAAAAAGTATACATCTTTTACAAACAAACAAGCGAAGATTTGTAACACTGCTTCACCAATACACAAAAATATTTCAACTTCCAACCTCCTTGATATGGGTCCTTGTTTCCTCAATTCCTTGCCTCTGATATTCCAACAAATTTGATCTGTACTAAATCTTGTTTGTATTCTTTTTACCTTATTTCCATTTGAGAGTTATTCAAAGCATTCTAAAGCTTTTATATGGGGACATGGTTCTTTTAGATATTGTCTATACATCTCCCCTTCATGAATCCCCTTCATGGATCACTGCCTTGCCGTGACGAAGGGGCTTGAATAACTCAGAAAAGCTATGAGCTACGCCGTGCAGGGCCACCCAAGATGGACAGGTCATAGTGGAGAGTTTTGACCAAACGTGATCCACCTGGAGCAGGAACCGGCAAGCCACTCCAGTATCCCTGCCAAGAAAACTCCATGGACATAGACAAAAGGCATATAAAAGTTATGTCGCTGGAAGATGAGCCCCTCAGGTCGGAAGGCGTCCAACATGCTACTGGGGAAGAGCGGAGGACAAGTACAAGTAGATTCAGAGCTGATGAAGCGGCTGGGCCAAAGCCGAAAGGACGCTCAGTTGCGGATATGCCTGGAAGCAAAAGGAAAGTCCAATGCTGTAAAGAAAAACATTGCATAGGAACCTGGAATGTAAGAACCATGAACCTTGGTAAGTTGGATGTGGTCAAAAATGAGATGGCAAGAATAAATATTGACATCCTGGGCATCAGTGAACTAAAATGGACGGGAATGGGCGAATTCAGTTCGGATGACCATCATATCTACTACTGTGGGCAAGAATCCCGTAAAAGAAATGGAGTGGCCCTCATAGTCAACAAAAGAGTGGCAAAAGCTGTATTGGGATGCAAACTCAAAAATGATAGAATGATCTCAATACGAATCCAAGGCAGACCTTTTAACATCACAGTAATCCAAGTTTATGCACCAACCACTGGTGCTGAAGAAACTGAAATTGACCAATTCTATGAAGACTTACAACACCTTATAGAATGACACCAAAGAAGGATGTTCTTCTCATTATAGGGGATTGGAATGCTAAAGTAGGGAGTCAAGAGATAAAAGGAACAACTGGCAAGTTTGGCCTTGGAGTTCAAAACGAAGCAGGGCAAAGGCTAATAGAGTTCTGCCAAGAGAACAAGCTGGTCATCACAAACACTCTTTTCCAACAACACAAGAGACGACTCTACACATGGACATCACCAGATGGGCAGCATCGAAATCAGATTGATTATATTCTCTGCAGCCAAAGATGGAGAAGCTCTATACAGTCAGCAAAAACAAGACCTGGAGCTGACTGTGGCTCAGATCATCAGCTTCTTATAGCAAAATTCAAGCATAAACTGAAGAAAGTAGGAAAAACCACTGGGCCGGTAAGATACAATCTAAGTCAAATCCCTTATGAATACACAGTGGAAGTGAGGAACAGGTTTAAGGATTTAGATTTGGTGGACAGAGTGCCTGAAGAACTATGGATGGAGGCTCACAACATTATACAGGAGGCAGCAACTAAAACCATCCCAATGAAAAGGAAATGCAAGAAAGCAAAGTGGCTGTCCAACGAGGCCTTACAAATAGCGGGGGAGAGAAGGCAAGCAAAATGCGAGGGAGATAGTGAAAGATACAGGAAATTGAATGCAGATTTCCAAAAAATAGCAAGGAGAGACAAGAAGGCCTTCTTAAACGAGCAATGCAAAGAAATAGAGGAAAACAACAGAATGGGAAGAACCAGAGATCTGTTCAAGAAAATTGGAGATATGAAAGGAACATTTCGTACAAAGATTACCATAATAAAGGACAAAAGTGGTAAGGACCTAACAGAAGCAGAAGACATCAAGAAGAGGTGGCAAGAATACACAGAGAAATTATACCAGAAAGATATGGATGGCTCGTACACCCCAGGTAGTGTGGTTGCTGACCTTGAGCCAGACATCCTGGAGAGTGAAGTCAAATGGGCCTTAGAAAGCACTGCAAATAACAAGGCCAGTGGAAGTGATGGTATTCCAGCTGAACTATTTAAAATTTTAAAAGATGATGCTGTTAAGCTGCTACACTCAATATGCCAGCAAGTTTGGAAAACTCAGCAGTGGCCAGAGGATTGGAGAAGATCAGTCTACATCCCAATTCCAAAGAAGGGCAGTGCCAAAGAATGCTCCAACTACCGCACAATTGCACTCATTTCACACGCTAACAAGGTTATGCTTAAAATTCTACAAGGAAGGCTCAAGCAGTATGTGGATCGAGAACTCCCAGAAGTGCAAGCTGGATTTAGAAGAGGCAGAGGAACGAGAGACCAAATTGCAAACATGCGCTGGATTATGGAGAAAGCTAGAGAGTTCCAGAAAGACATCTAATTCTGCTTCATTGACTATGCAAAAGCCTTTGACTGTGTCGACCACAGCAAACTATGGCAAGTTCTTAAAGAAATGGGAGTGCCTGATCACCTCATCTGTCTCCTGAGAAATCTCTATGTGGGACAAGAAGCTACAGTTAGAACTGGATATGGGACAACTGATTGGTTCAAAATTGGGAAAGGAGTATGGCAAGGCTGCATATTGTCTCCCTGCTTATTTAACTTATATACAGAATCCATCATGCAAAAGGCTGGGCTGGATGAATCCCCCAAGATCGCCGGAAGAATATCAACAACCTCAGATATGCAGATGACACAACCTAGATGGCAGAAAGTGAGGAGGAATTAAAGAACCTTTTAATGAGGGTGAAAGAGGAGAGCGCAAAATATGGTCTGAAGCTCAACATTAAAAAAACGAAGATCATGGCCACTGGTCCCATCACCTCCTGGCAAATAGAAGGGGAAGAAATGGAGGTAGTGAGAGATTTTACTTTCTTGGGCTCCATGATCACTGCAGATGGTGACAGCAGTCACGAAATTAAAAGACGCCTGCTCCTTGGAAGAAAGGCGATGGCAAACCTTGACAGCATCTTAAAAAGCAGAGACATCACCTTGCCAACAAAGGTCCGTATAGTTAAAGCCATGGTTTTCCCAGTAGTGATGTATGGAAGTGAGAGCTGGACCATCAAGAAAGCTGATCGCCGAAGAATTGATGTTTTGAATTATGGTGCTGGAGGAGACTCTTGAGAGTCCCATGGACTGTAAGAAGATCAAATGCATCCATTCTTAAGGAAATTAGCCCTGAGTGCTCACTGGAAGGACAGATCATGAAGCTGAGGCTCCAATACTTTGGCCACCTCATGAGAAGAGAAGACTCCCTGGAAAAGACCCTGATGTTGGGAAAGATGGAGGGCACAAGGAGAAGGGGACGACAGAGGACGAGATGGTTGGACAGTGTTCTCGAAGCTACAAACATGAGTCTGACCAAACTGCGGGAGGCAGTGGAAGACAGAAGTGCCTGGCGTGCTCTGGTCCATGGGGCCACGAAGAGTCGGACACGACTAAACGACTAAACAACAACATACATCTCCCACTCCTCTTTAAACTTGTTGGGTCGATCGATCTCTATTTTTTCCCATCATATATGCTAATTCCATGTATTCTAACAGTTTTACTTGCCACTCCTCTTTTGATGGAATTTGATCTCCCTTCCACCCCTTGGCAACCAGCATCCTTGCTGCCGTTGTAGCATATAAAAAGATAATACTTTTCTTTCTTGGGATATCTGGTGCCATTATACCTACGAGGAAGGCTTCTGCTCTTTTGTTAAACATTATCTTGAACAATTTTTAAAATTCATTATATATGAGGTCCCACATGTGGTATAATGTTCCCTCTAATTCTCTGCACCTGCACCTCCAGCATAAATTCAAGTTGGTTCAATATGTTTTTGATAGTTTACTGTGGTTGATGTACCAACTGATCTATCTCAATAGGGCTAACCACCATGTGAGCTTTAGGCAACCAAATCAGGATACAGTCATACCTCGGGTTACAGACACTTCAGGTTGAGTTTCTTCGGGTTATGGACCACCGAAACCCAGAAGTACTGGAACGGGTTACTTCCGGGTTTCGGCAGTCGCGCATGCGCAGAAGCGCTAAATCATGCTTTGCCAAACCGTAACCTGTGCGTGCACAGGCACACCGCTGCAGGTTGCGAATGTGCATCCCACATGGATCATGTTCGCAACCCGAACATCCACTGTACTCTGTAACAGGCAATCCAGAGCAGCACATGGAAACACAGTTTACCTTCCCATCAGAGCGGTACCTATTTATCTACTTGCACTTTGACGCGCTTTTGAACTGATAGCTTGGTAGGAGAAGGGACCAAGCAACAGGAGCTCACCCAGTCATGGGGATTCGAACCGCCAACCTTCTGATTGGCAAGCCCTAGGCTCTGTGGTTTAGACCACAGCGCCATCCGCATCCCATTGAAGGGCTACCTCATCCCAATTAAAGATAAGGAGCCAAAAGAAAGGAGAGCTGGGGTCCTGAAATTACTCATCAGATACATCTGAACAGCAGACTAAATAGGCATCCTGGCCACCTGCTCATAGTCTTCTCCTAATGTGTTGAGATGAGTGGTGTTTCAATTATAGACATTATTTACTGATTTGCATTTGCATATCCATTATTATATGCAGATTTTATGCAAATTGGTGTCCTTCTTTCCCTTTCTTTTTTTGGCAATGCATACCATTGTGTTCCGTTTGCATGACGCCCGACTCTCTTCTAATTCCTGGGTTTATGGATCTAGCAAGGCATAAATTTTAACCCTTGTGGATTCCGTGGTTGTACTAGTCAGGCAAGTTTCTTTGACCCTTAATCTCAAGGTCATGCTTTCATGCCCCATGTTGGGCAAAAGATTCCTGCATTGCAGGGGGTTGGACTAGATGACACTTGTGGCCCCTTCCAATGCTACATATTTATGATTCTATGGTGGCCACAGTTGCCACCTAAGTACCATCGTTCATATAGCAAAAGAACTTGCTCTGGACTTCCAGTTGGCCGTGCAATTAATGGCGGATGAGAGCTCTTTCATCTGAAAGAGCCCTTGTGCTTTGAAGATTGGGGTGCCCACGAAAGCGTCACAGAGCCCCGAAAAAAACTCAGATCGAGCATTCTGAGGACCTGGTGTTCCAGCGGGTACCCCTTGAGACTCCCCTGCTCCCCAGTAAGCTCTAATAAGAGCCCCAAGAGCGAGCGGGGTTGGAGACGTGGGTACTGTGGAATCTACTCGCTTTCTTCATTGCGCGAAGCTCCAAAGTCCGGCAATCATGAGCAACCAATTTCTCCGACAAAATTATAAAAGATTGGACAATCGTGAGTAAAAAAAGGCTTTAAATTTGGACAATTAATTGGACTGAAGGGATTTAAATTACGGAAGCAGTTGTTGCTGACAATTTTAAAAGAATGTTTAAAACTTCCAAGGAAACTTTCTAAACCCCTCTTTCTGCAGGGTGAAGGGGGGAGAATTTGACTGAATTGAGAGACCCTGCATAAGATAGACAGATTGTGTGTGAGCTGAGAGAGAAGCAGGCAGAAGCCAGATTGAGAGAGCCATGTTTGATTACTGCTGGAATCCAAGGCTGTGACTCTCGAGGAAGCAAGATCTTTTGGGGTGCTAATGCTCTGAGCCCCTCCATCTTTGGCTCAGGTTGCCTATATGTGTAAATAAACCATGTATCCTCAAGACGCCACAGTCTCTGGTTTCCCTCATTCCAAGGAAACCAAACCCTGGGTAAGCGTCTGGAACCCCTGGAATCTCTCACCAATAGGAGATTTGGGGTGGCCTGCAACAGTACCCCAGATGAGCATCTGGCTGCCCTGTGGTCTGATGAAGAAGGACTCGCCATATATTTATATATCGCAGGATTAAAATTGTAAAGCAGAGTTCCAAGCACGGGTCTTCTTCTATGAGCCTGGAAGACTGTTACCTACTTGGAAGCATCTATTTCACTTTAAGGGCAGATCTGAGGATGTGTTCAAGCTCCATTGATGGGTTGGAATGAAGGGCCAGGAATCACCATTTCTGCAGAGCAAAATTCCTGCAGCTGTTGCATTGTAATCCAGCAGGTAGGCTAGCTAGCCAGCGGCTGCATATCAGCAAGTACAAGCGCCTAATTTTTTAGACATTGCTTACGTACCTTTTTCCTGTGCAAAGGCCTCCACGAGTTGAGCAGCTTCCTCTTCTATTTGATGCTCCAGACACATCTTCATTTGCCCCATCTTCTGCAGGGCAGAGCGTGCAAAATTCCTCTGCTGCTTCCAGGTTTTGCCATTGGAGAACATAATACCTGCAACGATTTTTTAAAAAACAAGAACCCAGTGTCGGGTGGTTCTTGGTTAGGTGGTTCACAGCTAGAGGTGAATGAATCAATACAGTCATACCTCAGAAGTCGAACAGAATCCATTCCGGAACTCCATTCGACTTCCAAAACATTTGACTTTCAAAGCGCGGCTTCTGATTGACTGCTGTGATGTCGGCGGTGGGGAGAGCGATCCCCTGCACGCTGCAGCGGTGGCTCCAGCCGCTGCACACGGGGGGCGAGCCCCCTGCGGTGTGCCTTTTTGTCACCCCCCTCAGGGATGGCACCAGGGCACACCGCCCCCCCCCTTCCTACGCCCCTGCCTCCAACAGACACAGCAGCCCAGGTGCCCTGCAAGCCCAGGGCCACTCGCGGGGGCAGCACAGAGGCTGGTGGACAGCCAATGCATCCCCCTCAGCTACCCTCAGCTGCAGGGCACCTGAGAAGGACACACTCACTTCGGTGGAGCATGGTGCACCACTGGTAAGAGTTTCTAAATGATTTGATGGCTTGCTAAAGCCACATAGTCTAGGCTTGGAGCAACCACCCTAGACATCCTTCCTGGTAGGGTTCACATGATGGAAAGAGAAAACAAAGAGATTGGTAACCCTTCCTCCTACCTAGCTCAGCCTGGCAGGACAGCTTGCTCTGTGGTCTTAACCCTTTAATGCATTAATTAGAGTTAAGCATATTGGTTACATGAAACTGGATATATCCCACACTTTCCATGCTGGCTGAGGAAAAGAAAGGAAAAGACCCCTCCCCACATTCCAAATAAAAATGGCTGAGTGCAACAACTTACCCTTTTCATTGCCCAGAATTTTAAAAACAGGGAACATTGGTTGTCCAGACAATGCTTCTGGGTTGTCCGTTAGACTATTATCAACAGCCTCAAACCCAGACAATACAATCACAGGAGTATGTCCTATCCATAACGTGAAAATGTTTCCATAACTGTTTGCAAGCTGTAAGTGGAGTCAAAGCAAACAAAACAAATGTTATGCTCAGGGCCAAGCTAGTTGATATGCAGATTGTATAACAGCATACAATGTATTTATTATTATTATTTATTAAATTTATTACTACTACTATATTGCAGTTGGATCAGGACCACAATGTATGGGGAGGGAGGTCTTTGGTTCTGGGGAAAATACCCACTTCCCCTCCACTCCCATTGAAAAGCTGCAATGGCTCCTGGGACTGGTGGAGTGGAGACACTTGTGGAATTGTTAGGCGAAATTTTGATGCCTGAAGCATGTGTTTCTGACCTGAATGTTTGTTCTGCTGATGCTCTTTGGGGCCACGGAGAAGAATTTGATGTGATTCCATTACTGGGACAAGAACACCTAGTGTTTCTGTTGACAAAAGTCTGTCCCATTAGCTAAAGGTAAAGGGACCCCTGAACATTAGGTCCAGTCTAGGGTTGCGGCGCTCATCTCGCATTATTGGCCAAGGGAGCCGGCGTACAGCTTCCGGGTCATGTGGCCAGCATGACTAAGCCACTTCTGGCGAACCAGAGCAGCGCACGGAAACGCCGTTTACCCTCCCGCCGGAGCGGTACCTATTTATCTACTTGCACTTGGAAGTGCTTTTGAACTGCTAGGTTGGCAGGAGCAGGGACCGAGCAACAGGAGCTCACCCCGTCGTGGGGATTCGAACCGCTGACCTTCTGATCAGCAAGTCCTAGGCTCTGTGCTTTAACCCACAGCGCCATCCGCATCCCTGTCCCAACAAAATAGAAAGTGTGGAGGAATACCACAGGGACTGGTGGATGCTGGCACTTCCTTTCAGCATCTCTACCATACAATATCCACTGCCTTTTGAATTTTACTGCCCTTCTGATTCTGCCACCCTACTTCGCCTCATGAGTAAACCAGCTCACACTCAAGTAGGCCTTCGCTTTTCTTTGGCAGTTAGGCTGCTGCAGCTGCTAAAAACAGAAGAAGTCTGTAGCCCAGTGGCAGAACATCTGCCTTGCATGTAGAAGGACCCAAGCTTAATCTCCACTGACATCTCCAGGGTGGGCTGGGAGAGGCCCACTGTCTGAAACCTTGGAGCATCCCTGCCAGTCATTGTAGACAATATTGAGCTAGCTGGACCAATGGTCTGGCTTGGTACAAGGCCACTTCCTGTGTCCCTGTGCTTAACAGTGGACTTGCACTGGGGATTCTTCCTGAAAAGACCTTCCAATCTGGAATGCCTGCAGGAGCCCAAAATTCTCAGCATTTTAGGAAAACTCTCCTAAAGCTCCCAATGACCTGCACCCGAAGAAAGGAAAATGTCAGCTTGGGGCTTAACCTTGCTCAAGCAACAGGCAATGCAATCCACACTTCACCCCTCCCTGTTTAAACCCTCCCACAGAGATGGAAAGAGGCAGTTTGTCGTGAAGAGGCAAGCTGGGAGAGGGCTTAGGACCACCACCACCACCCTGCTGCAATTCGGCTTCTGCATTCCAAATCAGTGTTGTATTATACAGTTACTGACTCACACGAAAGGGTTAACCGGCACCCTGAGCTCAGATTACCATGGGTGGGACTTAGCAAGCTGTCAACAGCCTTTGCTTCCTCTCTCCCCCATTTTCTCTCTGTTCTTCCTTAAACAAGCAGCAGCCAAGCAATGATTCCCAGCTACAAGAAAGAAAAGATGTGAAAATCTATTTAAGATGAGATTCTCATAGCCTGCAGACTGCATCTTGTCAGGAGGACTGTTCCACACAGTGTAGGAGTTGGGTCTCTATTTCTGTGGCACCTTGGGGGACATTGCAGATTACATGGCCGATATCCCACAGCTTCTAGTGCATTTCCCCCTCACTTGCTCATCACAACATGGGTTTTGTTGCAAACAATCTCATCAATCAGGTTGCAATTGTGCAACGTGAATTTGCAGGTATGTAGCTGAACCCCATCCAAAAATAGCAAGAATCTGGAAGTACCCGTAGGTTCCTCACCCACACCTCCACTTTTTGTATAATTGTTTAGATAATTTATACCCCGCCCTCTGTCGGCAGATCTCAGAGCAGGCTATAACAACAACAAAACACCACAATCAGACTGAGGGATAGCTCAGTCAGTAGAGAATGAGACTCTTAATCTCAGAGTCGTGGTTTCAAACCCCATGTTGGGCAAATTTCCCCTGCATTGCAGGGGGTTGGACTAGATGTCCCTCATGATCCCTTCAAACTGTTGTTGTTGTTGTTGTTGTTGTTGTTGTTTAGTCGTTTAGTCATGTCCGACTCTTCGTGACCCCATGGACCAGAGCACGCCAGGCACTCCTGTCTTCCACTGCCTCCCGCAGTTTGGTCAGACTCATGCTGGTAGCTTCGAGAACACTGTCCAACCATCTCGTCCTCTGTCGTCCCCTTCTCCTTGTGCCCTCCATCTTTCCCAACATCAGAGTCTTTTCCAGGGAGTCTTCTCTTCTCATGAGGTGGCCAAAGTATTGGAGCCTCAGCTTCAGGATCTGTCCTTCCAGTGAGCACTCAGGGCTGATTTCCTTAAGAATGGATACGTTTGATCTTCTTGCAGTCCATGGGACTCTCAAGAGTCTCCTCCAGCACCATAATTCAAAAGCATCAATTCTTCGGCGATCAGCCTTCTTTATGGTCCAGCTCTCACTTCCATACATCACTACTGGGAAAACCATGGCTTTAACTATACGGACCTTTGTTGGCAAGGTGATGGCTCTACTTTTTAATATGCTGTCAAGGTTTGTCATTGCTTTTCTCCCAAGAAGCAGGCGTCTTTTAATTTCATGGCTGCTGTCACCTTCAAACTCTACAGTTCACTGATTCTGTGATTCTATGATTATTTAATTATCTCCTTTTGATTCTAAGATAGATACTTCCAATGCATGCTTAACCATCCGTCGCCTGCTACTGTTTGGCATGCCTTCTTCTCAGCTCTGCCTCTTCTTTTTCTCTTTCAGCTGGTTGTTTGTCTGTTTGCTTGTTTGTTTGTTTGTTTGTTTGTTTGTTTGTTTGTTTGTTTAGAACAGAAGTGGGAATAAGGTAGACTGGGATCAAGTGGTAGATCTTTGAGGGATATGCACTAAAACAGCAAGGCTTTCCGATCCCCTGCTGCTTCAAAGTAAGAAGAGCTGGGGCTCAGTTGGCTGAGCTGAACCCAGCAGGTCTTAAGCTGGTGTCAATCGTGGAAAGGGGGCGTTCTGGGGGAGTGCCAAGTGTGGAAACAGAACAGGTGGGGCAGGGAAACTTAGGCTGGATCCAACTTATTATTATTATTATTATTATTATTAGGTGGGCCCTGTAAACATACACATCAAGTGTCAGAATCCAGGGGAAGGAGTGTATTTTCAGCATTCTCTGAAAGCTGCATAATGAAGGTGCCAGGTACACCTCTTTGGAGGGGTGGAGTTCACAGCTTTGGGGCTGCCATAAAGAATGCCCTCTCCCCAGCCACCAACCACCAAGCCTCTGAGGGCCTCCTCTGCCGATCTCAGCAGCTGAGAGGGTCTGTAGGGAAGGTGGTGGCAGGGAGAAGTCCAGAGTCAGAGATGAGTCCAGCTGGTGAAGAGGCACAAATGTCTTCCCTTCCTGCTGCTCCCCTCCCCCTCTGGTCTCCCAGAACCAGAAAAGGCATGAAAAGGGTGGAAAATAGGTTGGTGGCACGCAGACAGACACTGTCTCCGATTGCTTGGGGAAAGCCCTGGAGAGGAAGAGACTTAGGCAGCTGTGGGGAGGCAGGGACTTTCAGTCTTGGCAGCTGACATTTAAGGAGTAAGAACTCCAGGAAAGAGCTGCTGTGGTTGTTAGGCCTGACACTCAACCAACTCTGTGGAGATCGTGTTTTTGCTCATGAAGAGTTAACTCCAGCTTTGAACTGTGTGATTATGGACCAGCATGCTCCTGTGACAACCCTGTAGGATTTACACCCACATTGTAAGTCCAATTAAACACAAACCAATTTCAGTGTTGGATTAGGGCATCACCATATAGGCAGTCTACTGGGGCAAGTGGGGCACTGGTCGGCCAACCTCAGTTTGCCCTTAAGCGCCACCACCTGCCCATCTTATGTAGAACCTGTCCACTGCTTGTTGGCTCCTTACTCCGTGGTTCTACTCACTACAGTTGCCTTTGTGGGCAAAACAACAGGACCAGAGCAAACTGGCTCAACCTATCTATTTATTTATTATTACCTTTATATTCGACCTTTCTTCTCAAGGCGGTGTACCTGATTCTCCCTTTCTCTATTTTATTAGTTCCCAATGGGCACCAGCAGCCACTGCATATGGGGCATTTTCCTGCCCTGTTCACCCACATACCTAGTGGGGGCAAGAAAAAGCCCAGCTAGATGATGTCCCATGTTGGCACTGCATTACATGTTACTGGAAAGAGTTGAGACAAGGACAGGAAGGAGCAGTAACGCAGTGTTTGCTGCAGTGTCCTGATTCCACCCTCGGACACACTCCCACAGCTCCCTGAAGCTCCGTGAAGGAGCCATCATCTCACTGAGGACCACCACAAAGTGAGTGGCACATTAATCAACACATGAAAAACTTGCTGTGCTGTCCTGGTCCTTCAGGACGAGTTCCCCACCCACCTCCCTAGCTATGCTGTTGTTGGTTCAGCTGCTATTATCGTTTAGAAAAATACCTTCATCAAAGTATCCTGACGAATCTTCCAGCCAACTCTCCACAGGCTTCCGATGAGAGGGAATGGAAGAGGTCCAGGGGGGAGCCGTCGGTGTTTCCAAAAGAGCTTTACAAACTGCACAGTCAGACAACAGATGACCACAGCAACCAGAACTTCACTTGGCCCCATGTTTACCTGACCGTTCTCTCTGAGTTAGATGAATGACTTTGTTCTGGGCTGACTTCCTGGTTTCTCTTAAAAGACTCAGTGCTCTTTTATACCCTTCCATCACATCATACGGAGAGATGCTGCCCAGAGATACGCTATAATTAAGCAGGGAAGAATTATGCGGTCATTTCAGGCACATTTATAGCCTAGGAATGTGGCTGTCCTCTTTTGGCACGTGAAGTGTGAACATTCAAGATGCTCAGATAAAGCAAGGAAGGTCTTAATTGCCATCAGACCCTGCACACCCACACAGTTTAAAAGGCCACTGAACATTTAATTGGCCAAAAATCTGGGACAAGAGGAAAGTTTTCGCCTGATGCCTAAAGATATGTAATGAAGGTGCCAGGAGAGCCTCCCTGGGGAGAACATTCTGCACATGGGGCCACCACAGAAAAGGCCCGCTCCCCTGTTGCCACCCTCTGGACCATACCCCCCAGCATGTTGAGGCTGAAAACCATACCTTCTTGTGTTCCCACACAAGTAATGTGACCTGTGTGAGTTAACAGAGTCCCAAAACAAACTTTTTTTTTTACTCTGGCTCTTGGGTATTTTGACCCAAAACTTGTGTTTTTGGGGGGCGCAGCTCCTAAAAATGGGATGCCTCAATTTAATCAGGGCAGTTGAAGGGTATGT